CCTAGGGTCCTCTGTTTCTGGACTGTAAGATTAACCACTCCCTGTTTTCCCTGTTTTTTGTTACAAAACTTCTACCTTTATAATTGTGACAGTCATGATTATTGACTCTTATGAATCTTATCCCCATCTCTTTACATCAGACCCATCTAGACAAGATGACATCTATTCAGTGGGTACTCTTTCTTTCCCTCCTTACTCTTAAACTAAACTCCCTCTTGAAACCTTGTAAGCCAGTCACTTCGTGCCTTTATTGCCCCCTCATTTCAGGTAGCCAATGTCTAAGTTGCCCATCCCTATCTACCCTGTATACAGAGCGGATAGCATTGATACTTGATTTGAAGACTCTTTCCCTCTCTGTTGGTATTTAGAGTTACTACCGCTGTGAGTATACGTCAGGTTCATCATGAAGATGTATCTTGTGTCACTGTAGTTGTTCCAGTTTGCTTGTCCTTTCTAGTGGGAATGTCTCACTTCACAAGGTTCTGGATGGGACTCAGGATTCCACCTAAGGTTCTATACTCTGTAAAGGCTTTGCATGAGGCCTATTTCACTGGGCAAGTTGTAGAACCCCTTTTAGGTATTCCAACCAGTTGTAGGCTGAAGGCGGGCTTACAAGTTTTCTCTAATCATGTTTCCCAACATTCCTTTCTATTGCACTCAAATGTCTATTTTACAATAGTAGGCAAGGGAAACTAATATTCATAAGGCAGTCAAGGATTTTAGTATTATTTTCCCTCTTCAAGCTATACTAGATCCCTGTATCCCAGAGCCCTGTTGCTCCAAGGTTGAGTATGCATCACTATTTACTTCTGTCCCACTAGGCCATTCAAACCTGTTCAGTGTTTCCCTATCCATCTTGCTCTTCTGCCTCCTCCCCCTTTCTTGTATTGCCCTCCCCAACACCCAAGTAAACCCCCCACCCCAACCCCATTGTGGTTACCTTATATTCCATAAATTCTTCCCTCCATTTAAGACAGTCTGTTTTATCCAGTAATCTACCTGACCTTCCCTGGATCTCTGTTCCTCTGTGTTTACCTTTTGTCACATTGTAATTGTTTTGATCATAGACTGTCCTCCCAGCTCCTCCATTTTTTAAATTTTATTCTGTTCTTGACTCTTTCATTTGTCGACTGAGTTCAGGTTGATGCTGCCATGTATGTCATTCTGTAATTGTTGTGTGTTCTTGTTGGTTCTCAGTCCACAGAACTTCCTTTAGGATGTTTTTCATAGCAGCGTTGGTTTTGGCAAAATTCCTAAGTTTCTGCTTATCCTGGAATATTTTGATTATACCATCGTATTTGATTGACAGCTTTGCTGGGTAGAGGATTCTTGGGTAGCAGTTTTTTTCTTTCAGGGTTTGACAGATGTCTCCCCATTGTCTTTTTGTCTGCATGGTTTCTGTTGAGAAATCCGAGCTTAATCTGATTTGCTTGCCTTTGTATGTTATATTTCTCTTTTCCCTAGCTGCTTTCAGGAT